ATTTGATTACACTTCTTTGTTTAAATCATTTAATGTGGTTTCAGATGATGTTTCAGATACATACTCAGGTTCGAGTGCAGTTATTGAAGATGATGAGGAAGAGGTTATCATTGGCTCATTCAAATCATTTGTGGTGATTCCTGAATCTCCTACGATGGATGTAGCTACACCAAGTACACCTCACTCCTCACCGGTCCAAAAGGATAGTTCCAACACCGAAGCCACTCCTTTTACTCCCGAAGAAGCTAGGATTTCTCAAGGGAAAATGTAACTACCACGCAAACTCTCATGGAATTTCTCTTCCTAGAGCCGTTCCTAAATGAATTCGTGGCAAGTTTTTATGATGATCACAAACCGTCTGAAGGGGATGATTTGGTAGCGGGTAGATTTGACATCACAAATCTATCAGTCATAGTCAATGATATCAGCAATCCAATCCCAACAAGCGTTCAACGTGATCGTCCTATCCAGAACATTATTTGTCCACTAAAAAGCGTGGTTCAGACCAGAAGTCATTGTAGAGATGTAAATGAGTGTCTTTACTCGTGCTTCATATCTCAAATTGAACCAAAGAATGTGGACATTACTCTAAATGAACCAAGCTGGGTGGATGCAATACATGAAGAGCTGAATTAGTTCGAGAAGTTGAAAATATGGTGGTTGGTAGAGCTACCAAAGGGCAAGAAATCTTTGGATACGCGTTGGGTGCTTAGAAATAAGCAAGATGATAGTGGGGTTATTGTATTCAACAAAGATCGTTTGGTCGTTCATGGATTCAGGCAAATAGAGGGTCTTGACTACACTGAAGTGTACACTCCTGTGGCGTGTTTGGAAGCCATTCGTATATTCCAAGCATACGCTTCCTACATGGGGTTTACGAATTATTAGATGGATGGTTAAGATAGCCTTTCTGTACGAAGTCGTGAAGGAAGAGATTTATATTGATCAACCTCCAAGGTTTATCAATCTAAAGTTTCCAAATCACGTCTATAAGGCTCTTTATGGTTTGCATCAGGCTCCTAGAGCTTGGTATGCCACCTTAACAGATTATCTATTGGAGCACGGATACACAAGGGGAACAATCGATCAGATGTTATTCATCAAGAAAGTGGGTGCAGATTTGATTATCATCCAAATCTATGTAGACGACATCATTTTCGGGTCGACCAGCATAGAGCTATGCAAAGAGTTCAAGGATGTAATGAAAAAAAGATTTGAGATGAGCTCGCTAGGTGAAATGACAATGTTTTTAGGGTTACAAGCTTGATAGGATTCGGCCGAATTTTACTTCATCAAGGAAAATATGTCGAAGACATGCTAGAGAAGTTCATATTTAAAGATTCAAAAATTGCTTCCACTCCAATGGTAGAAAGACCTCTGTTGACGCCAGATCTAGAAGGAGAATCCGTAGATCAAAGTGAATATCGATCGATGATCAGATCTATAATGTATTTGACTTCCAACAGACCTAACATCATGTTTTCCATTTTGTCAATACACTCATTATCAGGCTAATCCTAAAACTTCCCATTTAATTGCTATTAAAAGGATTTTTAGAAACCTTAAAGGTAGCCCTGAATTGGGTCTTTGGTATCCTAAAAATCCTGAATTTGATTTATATGCTTTTGCTGACAGCAACTATGTAGGTTGTGATCTTGTTAGGAAATCTACATCAGGTGGATCTCAGTTCTTAGGGGACCGATTGGTGTCTTAGCAATGCAAGAAATAGCAAACAGTGTCGAACTCGATGATTGAGGTTGAATACGTTGCTCCCTCAGCCTGCTGCTCTTAAGTTTATCTGGATTCAATACCAATTTCTGGATTACAGTTTGACTTTTCTTGACACTCCCATTTTCTATGATAATGATGCGAGCATTCAAATTGCCAAAAATCTCGTTCAACATTCAAAAACCAACCACATCGACATTAAAATTCATTTTATCTACTGTTATGAACATAAGTTCATTTGTTTGGAACAAATTATCACCGATAACAATGTGGCAGATTTGTTCACCAAACCTTTCAGTAAGGCTCGTTTTGATGTGCTTGTGGGTTTTCTAAAAATGATTCATTTCGAAGATTAATTTTTATTTTATTTTATTTTTTGTTTAAATTTGCTCATTTATTTTATTTCTCTTCTTCTCTATGCACAAATTTAGGGGGTGAAATCAAAATACAAAAAAAATATATTAAATAAAAAATTCCAAAAATATGTTTTCTTTCATAAGTGTTCTTGGGAAGTGATATGAAGTTTAGTGTTAAAAGGCAATCTGAAATACGTGTAATGCACTGAAGCTAAATTGTTTAGACTCTGTGTTCAATGTGATGGAAGGCATGAAGGATTCAAAATGAAAGGACTAGACACTGTTGACAATGAGAGCACTTGATAGTGTTAACTCATCTGGAGTTAGATAGTTACATTTAGACTGGCCATACGATGCTTGGATAGATTGAGTAGTGAGACAAATAAAGGAGCCTGCAAGTTACATTAAAGTTACTTATCATCTAGAATTTTGGCTCAACATTTCTTCGACGTGCAGACTTATGTCCTTAGTTATGGTACTGATAGGATGACTGGGGTTCTGATAAAGTAGGTCTGTGTGAAATTGTTATTCTTTCTTATCCTCTATGTCAGTTATATGTTGCCCCTTTTGCGTGAATGGAATAGATCCGACCTAGGACGTAACATATACATCTCTATTTCTATGCATCCCTATCTTTGCATCTCTCTCTCTATCTATGTCAGTCATATGTTGTCCCCTCTGCGTGGAAGAGATCTGACATAGGACACAATATATGCATCTCCATATCTTCTCTCTCAAATAATTGAACACTCATCTAAAGTAAAGAGCTCTTTGGAATTGCTTGAATACTAGGGTATGTAGTGAAGTGGGGAACATGTTCTAGTTCGCTTAAAATTGAATTGGTCCATGACTAAAGGTTGATTGTAGATATCGCTATTGAATTTAAGTAGAACACAATATTTATGGTCGTCGTTTAGAAATATAGCTGTAATGTCTTGTCCCTTATAATTTGTTCAAATTGCAAATATCCTTTGCGTTTAAATGGACCACAATATTGGTGATTGACCAGAGTTATCCATGCAGGTGTGTGCTGATAAACGGTATTAAATTTGCTTGACAACTTTTGATCCTAAAATGTTTTAAATTTAAGTATTAAATTTTGTTTTATTTTAATATTGTTTCTAAAAAGTTTAGTTTCATTTTATTTTATTTTATTTTTATTTGGAATTTAATTTACATTCATTTCAAAGTTTATTTTATTTCTATATTTTTTTAATCTACGAAACGAATTAAAAATGATGAATTGTTAATTAGATTGGGGCCCATCGATTTCGGTGGCCAAAAGGACCGAGAACCCATCTTTAAGTTTAATAGGGTTTTGATGCTTCCTCTTCATTCTTCATTCTTCATTCTTCATTCATCACCACCGAAATCCCTTCCCTTTTCTCTCAAAACTCAATCGAAAACCCCGTTGTTCTCTATTCATTTATTCAACCTCATTTTCAGCTATAATCATCTATTTTTTCTTTGATTCACTGCAATCTTGACTAGGTATGAAGATTTCGAGCAACATTCTTCAGTTTATGTTTCTCTTTGAAGTTTTTACAGGTGTTTAACGGCGTTTTCCGCGAGCTAACAGTGGTTTCCAGCGATCTCATCGATAGTTTCAAAAATCGAAAAGTCGGGTCTTCGGTTTGACCCGAATCCGACCGAAATTGATTGAATCCGACCAAAAACATTTTGTTTTGACCGAAAATGTCTCCCTTTTTACCATAAACTCAAAGTTTGACCGAAATCAATATATATTGACCAAAATCAACATGTTGGACCGAAATCGACCTTTCTGACCAAAATTGAAATTTTTGTGAAAATAAAATTTTAATTTTTACTTTTTATGGTTTTCAATTGATTCGTTTGGTGTAGTTAAATGACGGATCAGTTGAAATTTGCGGATTCTCACAATATCGTTGGATATCTCCTAGATCAACCTACCACGCATAATGAATTCAAATCCACGATCGTGGGTTTGAATAATTGCAGAATTTCTCACGCTTTACGTTCTAATCCAGTCGTCTACAAGGACCTGATGACTGAGTTCTGGATAAATGCTTCAATCAACAAGCAGGGAGCAGATGGAGCCGGAGCTGTTGAATTGATGGTGAAGGGAACTCAAGTACTTATTTCTGAGCAAGTTATCTGATAAGTACTTGAATTTGGTGATGCTCTTGCATTTCAAATTAATTACTCTTCTGATCAAGTTAATATTGTCCTTGAGAAGATGTTTATGAAGGAACCTATCCTCCCACCATCAAGGAAGGGAGGATCGGATGAAATAAGTCATACTACAACCTCAACCATTGCCGCTCTAGCAATGGACTGGGATTACAACTTTTAAAGGTTTGTCTTTGAAGAAATGAAAATCTACCTTCAGGGGAAGAACAAGGACATGTTTCTAATGTATCCCAAGTTCCTTCAAATGATCCTAATTGAAACATATCCCAAACTTGAACAGTTTTCTGATACTTTGGATATGAAAGCCTTGGGTCCCAACACCTTCGGACTCATGAAGCAATCAAGAAAAGCAGCCAAAGTCGTCTATCAAGGATTGAAGGAGTTGGTTAAGTTTGGAAAGTTTGTTGAAGTTGAAAATACTCCTACTGCTAGTTCCATTATTGTTGAGGTTGCCGAGGAGCATGTGGCACCTAAACCAAAATTTTAATTTGCATTTGAAGAGATTGAAGTATCTGATGATGAAGAAGAGGATCAAGAAAAGAATTTGAAAAAGAATAAGCTTGAAGATTTTCTACAAAGTATATCAATCCCTGATGAGGATGTTCGCATGTGTGAATCATCGAAGGAACCGGTTAATGAGGTTGTAATTTCTCTAGCCGATACAGAGAAAGATGAGATCCAAGACCTGGAGTGCTTATCACATACCCTTTTCAAAATGTATCTACTCCGGTTGAGCCTAGTCCTATGGTCCAAAACATTGAAAGCACATTCATTGAGCCTATTTTAAGCCTGTTACCTGAATCCACTCGTATGGATCAGGAGTTTGAAAGCCCTATTGTTGAACAAGAAGATCAGGATTTTAAAAGCCCTATTATTGAACAAGAAGTCTTGCCTTTAGAATGGGCTCAAGCTTCTGGAAGCTCCTTTGAAGCCCCTGAGCTGGATATTTCAAAAGGAAAAAGTAAGCTACCTGAGTCTGAGTCTGTGGATGTCGCTCTGCTTTGGAATAGAGTTTTTGATTTGGAACTGAGCTCGATAGAAAAGGATTTGATTATTGGAAAGTAGGATGTTAGAATCAGTGATCTTGAAAAGGAGAACTCCATTAAAGATGCAAAGATTTGATAACTTCAAGCAAATCTTGGTGGTCTAACTACTTTATTCTTTGACCTGAAATAATGCTTAAATCAAAAGCTTGGTGATGATTTTCAACCTTTAAGCGCTGAAGGTGAAAAGATATATGCTTCTAGTTCTGGTCAAGTCAATCCAACTTCTCAACCTGCAAGTGAAAGAGTTGTAAGGCCCGCTCTGAATACAGTTCTTGACACTTTTATCTTCTGGTCCTGCTTCTGCTCAAGAAAGAAGAGAGAAGCAAATCAAGATTGACCAGCTGAATGGGAAGATGCTGGTGATGAAGCATTCAGACCAAAATGCTCTAGGTGATCACCTTGAGTTGTTTTTCAGGGAGACTTGGAAGAAGTTATAGATAAATATGGGGATTGCTCTGGAATTCGTATGTTGGGATATGAAGCTGATAAGAAAATATGGATCATAAAGTGTAAGAGCGGAAATATTGAGTATTATGAGAAGAAAGTCGACTTTCTATCCTGGACAAAAGTAGATCTTTCTGAACTAGTTCGTGCAACTTTTCACAATCCAACCAATGATCCCATGGTCTGCTCTTTTAAGTGTTTTCTTGAGGATAAAGTTAAAAGTAACTTTGAAGGCATGAAGACTGCTTCGTCATTTACGAAAAAGGCTAAGGATGTCATTGATCCTCGCACTAATAAAACCATGGTGAATGTTATGTGGCCGACTACAAAGAAAGGACAAAGGATTCTGCTTCCTGAGCGTTTACCAGAAAGCACTTTGGACTCAATGCAATTCTGGGTTTATGATGAGGCTACCGCATTAGTGATGATCAAGTTGAAGAGGAACCAGTATCACATTATCGATCCCAAAGACTTGTTGAAGTTTTGTGAATGTGATATCCTGAATTTGTTAAGATTTCAAATAATTGTTGAGAATGAATTGTTTGAAGCTGCTACAAAAACTTTCACCAGAATGATAGCTACAATCATTGAGAAGAAGTTGTAGGCTGGGGTATTTGATCAGGCGGACGTGCATCTAGTGGAGAATCCTTGAAGACAGCCAACAATAAACCAAGGGGGAGATTCTTGGGTCATATTTATGGTTTACTTTGGGCTACCATTGTACTTGAGCTTAGGAACGTACGTTGTTAGTGGGAATTTGTTGTTTTTGGGTATCGGGACCGAAATCACTATGGTGATTTCGGCCATCATGAGCTTGGGCCTGTTAAGGCTTTATACTTGGCATATATATATATATATATATATATATATATATATATATATATATATATATATATATATATTGTTTTCAACCGTTTAGGACTTTAGTGTTGATCATATTTTATTCTCGGCTGCAAACATGTACTTGTGTACCAAACGATTTCATCAATTAAATCGTATGTATTAAGAGTTTTATTTGTGTTCTTGAATCACAATGTGATCTATTTTCCGCATTCATTAGATAGTTTGATAGATATCATATTGGGCTAAATATTTTAGGACTTACACTTATAGCCTTAGTCGCTACTCATTGGTGCGAGCTTCACCACTTAGATGTTTAAGCGACTTTCTGTGACAATCCAAGTTGTCCCGTTACATTTCCCCGTTACCGTTAACGGAATATTCCACTGTATAAAAGTTCCGTTAATTAGAGGGCATCAATTTATTAAACATTCCATATGATTACCTTTAACATGCCGTTAAGTCGTGATAAAAGGGAAATAAAAACACAGTACACACATTTTCATTCATTTAGAAAATGTCAAGTTTTATTATTACGACCACTAAATCAGGTGCGACCAAAAGCCCCGTTTAACGGCAGTATCGGGTAAAATTCCACTGAGCCTCGACTGTGAAACCTATATATGGGTGAGTGGAGTCCATTGGAGACTTTTCACACTCTCTCTCTATACTCTCTCTCTAGACCCGTTTTCGCCCCGAATTCGCAACCAAACGCTTCCAAATTGTAAGTCCGCTTACCCTAGCTTATTCTAAGCGTATTGATTTATGTTTAAAGCCCAAAAACCATCCAAGAAGGCATAGGATAAGGAGTTTACGGCCCAGGAACATTCTAGGGCCGTAAACCCCTAAAAAGGTGCTAAATATGCCTTTAAACTTGACCATAAGCTTAGAAATTATTAGGGGATATAGCCTAGGGGTGTTTAAACACTAAAATGCATGGGTTTAGGACTCAAAGAAGAGTTTACGGCCCAAGCACATGCTTAGGCCGTAAACTCCACAAGTCATGGTCCCAAATGTGCACCAAACTCATCCTAGGGCTTATTACATAATTTAGGGACTTATTCCTTTGAGTTTAGAACACTTGAACACTCCAAAATGAATTAAAGAAAGGAGTTTACGGCCCAGACTTGGTCAAGGCCGTAAACTCCCTAAATCATGCCCAAAAGTGTGATTTTGCCCCCTAATGGCCTTAGACATTTACCATAAAATACTAGGAGGGGATCTAAGGACTTAAACCCAAGAAAATGAGGGATTTCTTGGAGTTTACGGCCCAAGCATTTATCTAGGCCGTAAACTCCCCAAAACCCCCTCAAATGTTGGTTTTAATCACCCATAATAGCATCAAACCTCATAAGAAAATTCTAGAAAGGCATTAGAGGCTTGAAACTTCACAAATCACTAAGGGTGAGAGTTTACGGCCGTAAACTCCCTTGGGAGAGTTCTTAGGCCGTAAACTCCTATAAAATACCCTTAGAGGCCTCAATTCCACTCATGCCTTTTGGGAAAAATGCTTAGAATAAATCAAGGAACAAGCTAGAAGCATCAAACACCCAAGAATAGAACCTTGGGAGTTTACGGCCGTAAACTCCCTTAGGTTGGGCCGTAAACTCCTTGTTTGGTCCATATTGATGCTTTAAACCCCTTTACACACTTGATATGTGAGTATAGCAAAGTCCCACAGCTGATAGGAGACCCTTAGCACCCTTAAACGCTACCCGGGACCCCAAACGCTCAACCAAAAGTGTTTTTCCACTCCTTTGAGTGTGTATAATTTTTTAATTAGTATATTATATGCTAATTGTATGTGAACATATGTTATCATATGTTAAAATAGTTCCTTGTGTGTGTTCAAGTCCTTGCGGGACCCCGAACGCCTAAACGACACTTCCGTCGGACCTACTTACACCAGGTGAGTTCATACCCCTTAATGAACCTTTTAAATGCTTTTAAATGTTTTATAGGGGGGATTACAAGTTAAACATGTCAGTTATCATATCAATCACATGTGATTGATAACCCTCATGCACAAGATTTTACCACTGTACACTGTTTTACTGAGTAGGACACTGTAAATGGCTTTCAAAAAGGGTTTTTAAATTGTTCAAGTTCTTACTTTCATAGCTTATCAAAGATTCATTTTCAAACTGGTTTATAAAGATTCCCAAAGATTTCTAAAGGTTTTCACACCTATTTTATCAAAGAATACAAATGCGATTTTCCTGAGTAATAAAGTCTCCAAAGGTTTTCGTGAATACTTTTAATTGTTAGTTACCGCTGCTTCGCTTATACTTATTTTATACTCCTACTCTGTAATGCTTTCGCTTATACCTGAAGTCACTTATACCTGATGACACTTATACTTATTCACCCTCTTACTTAGTGATACGAGTCTACTTCGCTTATACTTGACATCGACTTTACTTCACTTATACTTGATGCGCTCTTACTTCACTTGTGGTCATCTCCACTTCGCGATGCGCTTATACTTATTCAACACTTATACTTCACTTGCGACCGCTCTTACTTCACTTGTTAGACACTCCTACTTCACGAGAATCACTTTTACTTGATACCCACTCAAGCATAGTTAGATGTATGTCTGTGCTTGTGTAGATGTATATAAATAATGGTTGAAGGACTTAGGAAGGTTGTCCGCCCTATTTCCTTTTCTTCGTTGAGATGTGGTCTGGTGGGATCGGATGTCCATCCGAATGTCATTTGTTTCATTAGTTATATACTATGTATACAAGCTTAGGCATACGGGTTACTTCAGTTAGTTCAGTTAAGAGTCTCTACTTCAAGTCTATACTTTCATTAGAAACCCACTATTGGGAAGTCTCTACCTCCAGTCCAGCACTTTCATTAGAAACCCACTACTTGGGATGCATCTTCGGGACGCGGCCTTCTCCGTCGTCTAGTTGGTAACCAGAGTCTCCTGTAGGGAGAGCGGACATTATGTGTATAGGCCTATACGGGATTGACAACCCCGCACCCTGACTGCTAGCTACAGTCCACGGCCCACCAAGCCAAGGGGTGACAAATGTCACATTATATAGATGCTTGTAGGGCGTCTGGAACTCTAGTCAGTATGGTTACGAGTATCCTGGATTGCCTTATAATTCATGGCTTTAAGGTAACGGTATTTTCGTCAACAATTTACACTGTATGCTGATGTCGCTTTTCAGAGTCTCTGTTTCGACCTTGCTAGCTGTATCTTTCATATGATACTATCTGGGGTCTATAGTCTCTGTTTCGACCTTGCTAGCTGTATCTTTCATATGATACTGTCTGGGGTCTATAGTCTTTGTTTCGACCTTGCTAGCTGTATCTTTCATATGATACTGTCTGGGGTCTATAGTCTCTGTTTCGACCTTGCTAGCTGTATCTTTCATTTGATACTGTCTGGGGTCTATAGTCTCTGTTTCGACCTTGCTAGCTGTATCTTTCATATGATACTGTCTGGGGTCTATAGTCTCTGTTTCGACCTTGCTAGCTGTATCTTTCATTTGATACTGTCTGGGGTCTATAGTCTCTGTTTCGACCTTGCTAGCTGTATCTTTCATATGATACTGTCTGGGGTCTATAGTCTCTATTTCGACCTTGCTAGTTGTATCTTTCATTTGATACTGTCTGGGGTCTGTAGTTTTGTTTTGACCTTATGAGAGATACCTTTCATTTGGTATCGTCTTCGGTCCATATTCACTGTTTTAGACCTTACCAGCTGTATCCTTCATT